TTCCTGAGGTGGGATCTCTGCACCCGCCACACAGGCCACCTCCTGTCTTCTCACATGATGCAGCTGCCCTCATGTGGTGCCCACACGTAACACCAGGATGCAGTGTAGGGGGCTGCAGGCCAGCTTCTGCAGGCTGGTCCTGTCTGATGCAGATCCCACAGGCAGATCTCTGTGCTGAAGCCAGTTATCTGCGGTGCTGTTTCTGGCCGTAGCTCATTGTGAGCAGCTGGCCAGGGAGTCTGAGACCATTTGGGACTGTTGGGGCCAGGGCCTGTGCAACTGTTCCCGTGATTAGCTGAGTGTGGGACTTGCAGCATCTCCCAGGAATCTGGCTGGGAATATGCTTCATTCCCATGACACTCACCCCTGGGATGAACATCCCACCAGCCCACTGCCTGCTGGACAGTACAGTACTGCCCCCTCCCTGTCACTCACCTGCCCCATGCTCCCTGCCAGGGCTGGGGCCTTTCCACTGCAAACCCGGGGAGCCGAGGCCCAGGGACTGCCCAAGCCCAGGAAGTGCTTTGGAGAGCTGGGACCTGATCTGGGCCTTGTGGCCATGCAGGGCCATGGGGCAGCACCAGGCCAGAGTCCCTTGGGCTGCACATGGTGAAACAGGCTGGAGAAACCATGTGGGGCTGCGGTCTGTGTTTCAATGAGGTGATTGGCATTTGCTCCAAGGCTCCAAGGGGCCGGGTTAAGATGCACGCAGCTCCCTGCCCTGTAGGCTGTCCAGGTGCTGCCTACAGCACAGCAGCAAGGGGAAGGCTAACTGAGGCCTCCTGGGCAAGCCCACGCTGCCAGTTAAGCACTTGGCTAAAAGCATGCTATCGCAGGGCTGTAAGGGACCTCAAGGACCTCTAAGTCCAACTCCTGATGCAGGACTGCCTGTTCCTAAGGGACTTGCACACACGGCAGTGGCAGGATGCTGAGGGGCAGAGTGCAGCGGTGATGCCCATAGGGGCTGAACAGGAGTTTGCAGGGAACCTGTGCCTTACAACAGCGAGCTACCCTCACTCCCAGAGCTGCTGCCCCGCCAAGCAGAGCCCCCTTCCGGAAGTCCTGAGCCCAACCTTCTTGCTCTTATGTATTTAGATACAAGAAGACTTGAAGTCAGCAAAGAATCCGGCCCCTGGAGGACCTTGCTTTCTGCTGGACAGAAGCCACCGCTGACCCA